GTTAGCTAACAGCTTTTTTGAGGTCTAATTGACATGTCATCATATCATAAATTTAATTTTTATTTTTTTATTTTTTTATTTTTTTTAAAGATTTTATTTATTTATTTGAGAGTGAGAGAGAGAATGAGAGAGAGCACATGAGAGGGGGGAGGGTCAGAGGGAGAAGCAGACTCCCCGCCAAGCAGGGAGCCCGATGCGGGACTCAATCCAGGGACTCCAGGATCATGACCTGAGCCGAAGGCAGTCGCTTAACCAACTGAGCCACCCAGGCGCCCCCAATTTAATTGTTTTTAAGATTGAATCTTTCATGTGCTGCTCTTCTGCATTTTGTTTTTCACAGTGTGTCAGTGGTCTGAGAACATCCCTGCAGGTCCACTAAAGCATTCTTAACCCCCTTACTTACTGTGTTAATTATGTTACTTTCTTGGGTGAGCAGTGCATGCAATTGAGACAAAATTCAAAAGAAACAAAAGCACCCAATGAAGAGCAAGTCTTTGCTCCCTGCCCACCAGTGGCCCTCCCCAGGAATCCCTCCATGGCGAATTCCTTAGGTCTGTCTCCTTACGTGACATCAGACCAACAGACGGAGGAGGGTGCTTTTCTTTATTTTTAAATCACTGCTAAGGGCACATCACACAGTTTTAGACCTCGGCTTTTTCACTTAACAGTATATCTTGGAAATGTTTCTATACTGGTATGCTACTTTTTTTTTTTTTTAAACTTATTTTTCTCTGAATTGCTAATGTATTCACAGGATTCCAAAAACAGTAATAGCAGTCTGATGAAAACTTTCCATCCAGCCTGTTCCCAGTCTACCCAGGTCACCCCACCGCCCCCTATCTCTGCATGTCTTCCAGGATTCTGTATTGTACAAGCAAGTGGGGGGTATCGATGCTTCTCCTACCCGCCTTCTTCCCCTCAAGAGAATCACTTTCCTCGAATACTTGGCATTTGTCACTCAGTAGCTTCTTGTGGATATTACTCCATAGCAAGGCACAGAGCTTCCCTGCTCTTAACTATTTTCTGTTTTTCTTGCCACTCGGTAACATTTCCTTCTATCCTTCTGTCCCTTCACCTGGCTTTAATTTTTCTTCGTAGCAGGTAACGTAATTTGACAAGTGTTTCAGGTCAGTCTGTTGACTGCTTAGCATTCTTCTCTCCTCACTAGAATGCAGACCCCATCAGGGCAGGGTTATCCTCTCTTTGCTTCTTTGCTGTATTCATTGCAAGTGCTTGTGGAGTGAGTTAATCCATCCTGTCCTCACATGCGTCCACCTGGCACCCTGAGGAGACAGGGACCAAGCAGGACTGTAGTGGAGGCGTCGTGTACCCGCATAGGCCCCAGGGGCCTCTGGTTCCGCAGAGAGAAGCAGCTCCCCTGCTGATGCCTTCAGAAGTACTTGGAATTAAGAAACACAAGCAGACGCATTTTGCTTACCTTTACCTTGGACCAGGGCCCTGTTCTAAGTCTTTACAAGAATGCCGTGTTGATTGAGCTTCACAGCAGCCCTATGGGGGCACTGGGAATGGCTCCATTTTAGAGAGCAGGACATTGGGGCCCAGAGGGGTGAAGTTCTTTGCCCAAGCCTCAACCTGAGGACTGGTGGAGGTGGTATGGGAGCCCCAGCTGTCCTGGTCCTGGGTCTGTGGGTGCTGCTGGAAGAGGGGCGGACGGAAGGCTCCCCCCTCACTCCCGGTGCCTCCCCCCGCCCCAGGCACTGCAACATGGTGCTGGAGAATGTGAAGGAGATGTGGACCGAGGTCCCCAAGAGCGGCAAGGGCAAGAAGAAGTCCAAGCCAGTCAACAAGGACCGCTACATCTCCAAGATGTTCCTGCGCGGGGACTCGGTCATCGTGGTCCTGCGGAACCCGCTCATCGCCGGCAAGTAGGGGCCTCCTCTCCACCATCAGATTTCCCGCCCTCATCCTGCGAAGACCTGCCTTTTGTAATGGGAATAATAAAGTCCTGTGTTTTTTCTACTGGCATCTGTCTGTTCCCAGAGCCTTGCAAGCAGGGCAGACTTGGGGAAGGGAGGCAGCTGGGTGTGGGGCCGGGTGCTGGGGTCAGGACCTCTCTGCCCCTCCCAGGCCTCACTTTCCCCATCTGTGAAGCGAATGGGGTGGATACAGAGAGCTCCCTTTCCTTTCCTAATCTTTTCTATCTTCTCTTCATCACTGTGTCTCTCTCTTGCATCTCTCTCTCTTCCCTCCCTCTGTCCCTCTCTCAGTAAGTTGAGGTCTAGCTCAGAACTTCTTGCAGTCTTTTTCTCCATTTGTTCAGTCAGGAAACAGCCCCCCAAGTGCCTCCTCTCTGCCAGGTCTGTGTTGCAGTGTTGCTGGGGGCCCCGCAGCACCCAGGAGAGCCCTGACCAGCCCTCACTGAGAGGAGGAGGAGGAGGAGGAGGAGGATCTAGTTGGAGCGGCCAGTACCCAAATACTGGTAGCGATTGCGGCTAACACCTGCCGAGCTGTTAGGGTGCCAGGCCCCAGCCTCTGTGCTGATCAGACTTCCTCTCAGCCACCGTGAACAGACACTGTTAATGATGACCTCCATTTCCAGAGGAGGGAACTGAGGTACAAAGAGGGGCAAGCACTTCCCCGGGGCTACCCAGCCAGGAAGTGGTGATGGTATAATTCAACTCCACCCTGCGCCAGAGCCTGGGGCTTAACCCTGAGCTCCACTGGCCTCAAATTACAGCTTCATTACCCCTGGGAGAAATTCTCTGACAAATGTGGGGAGATAGAGGTGGGAAAGGAGGAGGCTGGCTTATTGGGGGGGGGTAAGGAAGATCCTGGTCTTGCTCTGATGCGCACACATTGTGCTCTCCCCCACCCATGTCTCTGTGTCCTATCTCTGCTTGCATCTCTTACTCTGTTCTCCAGATAAGACCAAACCCCAGGTGGGTGCAGGAGTTTGCAGGCCTCAGATCAGGATAAAATGAGATGTTTGATACACTGAGTTGCGGAAGGCACATCCTGAGTTATTCCGTGAGTCCATTAGTGACAGAGCAAGGGGCCCTGTAGGAGGAGAAGGCTTGACACACGGCGACAGCTGTGAGGTGCTAAAGGTGCACGTTTACTGAGTGGCCCACATCTAATGGGAACAGTTATCTGGTGGGTAGATACCAGAGTCATCCATCTTACAGATGAGACAGCTGAGGCCCAGAGAGGGTAAGTGACTTGCCCAGGGTCACTCAGGAAATAATGGAGCCAAGTTATCTGTAATGTGGGGGGCAATGGTGCCGCTGCAGGAGACCCTCCTGCCCCGGTCCCCGCCCCTGCAAGGATTCAGTTCTTGTGCAGGAGCTGGGACAGCACAAGCGCTGGAATCAGTCCTGGCTTCAGATCCCTGCCCTGCCTCCCCCTTCTTGTTGACCTAGCCTCCCCAAGAAGTGGGAATTGGTTTTCCCCGCCCTGCGGGCTGGCAGCAGAAATTTCAGCCTCAGGCACCCTGCTTGGCATCAGTCTGAATTTCCTCCCGTCTTCGCCCACCCCTGCCTAAATGGTTTCTAATCACCTCTTCCTTCATTGCGTGAAAGCGAAAGCAGAGATTGCAGGAAAAGCATGCACCGTGCACCAGGAACTACCCTAAGAATAACTCACCGGAATCTTGGAACCATAGGATGTAGACACCATCACTATACCCATTTTTCCAGAAGTGGGAACTGAGGCACAGAGAAGTTGGGAATTTCTCCCAAGTCACACAGCTAATAAGTACCCAAACTAAGTTTGGACCAGGCTGGTGTCTGCAGTCTTACTATGCCTACACTACCTTTTAGAGAAGCAACCCTCAGAAAATGTTTGGCACATACACATAATTTTAATTGCATACACTGTAAATAGTTAAGTATCGGGAGATCACATGAACAATCCCAATAGGGGTTTCTCTTAGGCATGGGGGACAGTGGCGGCATAGCGTCCCGTGTTCTTGTGGCAACACGTGGCTGAAGAGATTGCAAGGCCACCACGGGCAGGCAGCCCACCTCTCGTTTCTCCTGATGGTCTGGCCAAGATGGTTCTCCCACCCACCTCCCATACACAAAAATACATGCTTGATTTACAAGGCCCGTGCCTTAGAGCACCCCCCCAAACCCATGAGGGGGGCCCAGCACAACCCCATGCTTGAAGGACTCTCCTCAGGGGCTATGGGGCACATCTGTCCAGGGGGCTGGGGACCCTAAGGAAAACAACACCCAGGTACTAACTGAATCTAAGTGTAGATCTGAGTCAGGGATGGATTTAGGAGTGAGAGTCTTGTGTGTGTACAGGTGGTCCAGATCCAGGCTGTCAGCTTCTCCCCAGTTCTCCCAGTTCCTCTGAGTCCTGCCCTGAATGGCTCCTGTTTAGTCTACACACCAAGTCCTCCTTTCTGCCCCCCCACCCCCCGCAGTGCTGCCCCATATTTCTCTTTCCATCTCTCACCTCTCCTGTGAGCTCCAGGGCCTTTTCCCCAGGCTGACATGTCCCAAGAGCACTCCTGGCTCTCCCCACCCTGAACCCCATCTCCCTCTCTTGCCATCATCCCAAACCTAGGAGTCTTCCTTGACTTCTCTTGCTGCACTTCCCTCGTGTGAAACGGTGGCAAATCCTCAGTTCTACCTTTAGAAGAGCAGCGCCAGAGTCCGACCACTTCACACCCTTCCGCAGCTGCCTCTCCTGCCCCCCCAGTAATCTGTTCCATCACATGGCACCGTCTGTTCCTGTCTTTTCCTCAGGCAGCACCAAGCTTTTCTGCCCTTGCAGATGCTGTTCCTTCTGCCTAGAATCTTCTTCCCAAAGCGGTCTCCTTCACCCCTTGCAGGCATGGGCTTAAGTGTCACCTCCTCAGAGATGCCCTCCTGGACCACCCTAGGCTCCCTTCTAATTTTTCCTCATTAGCCATTCCACAGTGTGTGTCTAACGTGATGTTCTGTCTTTGCTGCTCCCCCAGTTGTGAACTGTGAACTCTAGGAGAACGGGGACCTTGTTTCCCCCCTCCCACCGCACCCCAGTTTCTCCAGCGCCCTCCACACTGGGCCTGGTACACAGTAGGCTCTCAATAAATACGTGCGATCTCGAATGGACACAGGATCCCCGCTGCCTAGCAGTAACTTTCCGAGACCCGGCTGGCCTCGTCCCCAGGCCCTGGGAGGGTCCCCAAGGACAGGCCGCGGTCAGGGGCGACCCGGCAGGGGCCTGAGCTCGAGGGCAGGGTCCCGGAGGCGCGCTCGGGCTGCTGGCGCTGCTCTTCCCCGAGGCTGTGGCGCAGGCGACGGCGGTGCCAGCAGCGACGGATCTCCGACTGCACCTGCAATGCGACGGGGCTCAGAACGTTCCCTGCGCTCCCGGCCGTTCCCTGCGCGGCCGCCAGAGGGCGCGGGCGGCGAGCCGGCGCTGTCCCTACCTCCTTGTTGATGAAGCAGTACAGGACGCTGACCAGGAAGCCCTGCCGGGAGGAGGCGCGGGGGTTAAATCGAGAGTGGGGGCAGGATCGCAGACACCCCCTGAGTGAGCTTGGGCCCTTAGCAGGTCCCAGACCACCTCGGCTGCCGCCACCCTGGTCCGAGACCATTTCAATCACCCTCTCCCTGGACCCCCCTTTGCCCTCCCAGGTTTGCTGAGCAATAAGAGGGTTAACAGGGGACCCTGGAGGTGGGCTACCTAGATAGGAGAACCGCTTCCCCACTTCCTGACCCACTTGGGCAAGGGCTTATCCCCTCTGTGCCTCAGTTTCTTCATCTGGAAAATGGGGTCATAATAGAGTGGTGGTTGTGAAAATTGAGGTAATATGCAAGAAGCTGGAATGCCTGGCACATAGCGTTAAACTATTCTTTTTTTTTTTTTAAGATTTTATTTATTTATTTGACAGAGAGAGACACAGCGAGAG